GTTATGTAATGTGTGTTATAACCCTGATAACAGGGTAGTTATGTGATGGGTGTTATAACCCTGATAACAGGGTAGTTATGTGATGGATATTATAACCCTGATAACAGGGCAGTTATGTGATGGGTGTTATTACACTGATAACAGGGTAGTTATGTAATGTGTGTTATAACCCTGATAACAGGGCAGTTATGTGATGGGTGTTATTACACTGATAACAGGGTAGTTATGTAATGTGTGTTATAACCCTGATAACAGGGTAGTTATGTGATGGGTTTTATTACACTGATAACAGGCTAGTTATGTAATGTGTGTTATAACACTGATAACAGGGTAGTTATGTGATGGGTGTTATAACCCTGATAACAGGGTAGTTATGTGATGGGTGTTATAACCCTGATAACAGGGCAGTTATGTGATGGGTGTTATTACACTGATAACAGGGTAGTTATGTAATGTGTGTTATAACCCTGATAACAGGGTAGTTATTTGATGGGTGTTATAACACTGATAACAGGGTAGTTATGTGATGGGTTTTATTACACTGATAACAGGGTAGTTATGTGATGGGTGTTATAACTCTGATAACAGGGCAGTTATGTGATGGGTGTTATAACACTGACAACAGGGTAGTTATGTGATGGGTGTTATTACATTGATAACAGGGTAGTTATGTGGTGAAATGAACTATTGTGTCACTAGCATTTGTTTTCTAGCTAAACATTGTATTCTAGCTTGTCTTGTATCAAACAAATTTTGTATGTATTCATGGTATTTTGATTGAAAAGTTTACTTGATCTTACAACCACATCAATAATATGATGTGTATTTACAATCTATCTATCCAGAGTCCCAACAGACAACAACATCGTAAAATCATCAACAATTCTGTGTTACAGTACGTTTTATAAAACAAGTATAACCATACTTTTCCAAAAACTACCACTTACGAAAGTCTGCTATCAGACTATTTTACAGGAACATATTGAAAACTTTAAACAAAAGATTATCAGAGAAAATCATAATCACAAAAGTTGAATCTAAACTGAATGAAAAACTTGTAAAAATGATTCATACAGAAGGAATGTTAAAGAGACTATAAAAGTTTTAACACGACATGGGATGAGTGATAAACTGCCAGGTTTATATATATAGTCTGTCACACAGGTGAGCAGAAACTGCAATAGCCAACAACATTTACTTACCTACATATTTGATATAGCTTATCAATGAAATTATCAGTGAATTCGATGATTTCAACAAAAATATCTATTAGCAGAGAAATAGTATCATTTGTCCATTTATATTGATTAAAATGATGTAAAATTATTTCACTCTAATAATGGCCTACCTCTTCCCATCTGTTCTAATGTAGATAAAGGTACTTCAATCTGACCTACCTCTTCCCATCTATTCTAATGTTGGTACAGGCACATCAATCTGACCTACCTCTTCCCATCTGTTCTAATGTAGGTACAGGTACATTAATCTGACCTACCTCTTCCCATCTGTTCTAATGTAGATACAGGTACATCAACCTACCTCTTCCCATCTGTTCTAATGTAGATACAGGTACATCAATCTGACCTACCTCTTCCCATCTGTTCTAATGTTGGTACAGGTACATCAATCTGACCTACCTCTTCCCATCTGTTCTCATGTACATACAGGTACATCAACCTACCTCTTCCCATCTGTTCTAATGTAGATACAGGTACATCAATCTGACCTACCTCTTCCCATCTGTTCTCATGTACATACAGGTACATCAACCTACCTCTTCCCATCTGTTCTAATGTAGGTACAGGTACATCAACCTACCTCTTTCCATCTGTTCTAATGTAGATACAGGTACATCAACCTACCTCTTCCTATCTATTATTATATAGGTACAGGTACATCAATCTGACCTACCTCTTCCCATCTGTTCTAATGTAGATACAGGTACATCAACCTACCTCTTCCCATCTGTTCTAATGTAGATACAGGTACATCAATCTGACCTACCTCTTCCCATCTGTTCTAATGTAGATACAGGTACATCAATCTGACCTACCTCTTCCCATCTGTTCTCATGTACATACAGGTACATCAACCTACCTCTTCCCATCTGTTCTAATGTAGGTACAGGTACATCAACCTACCTCTTTCCATCTGTTCTAATGTAGATACAGGTACATCAATCTGACCTACCTCTTCCCATCTGTTCTAATGTAGATACGGGTACATCAACCTACCTCTTCCTATCTATTATTATATAGGTACAGGTACATCAACCTACCTCTTCCCATCTGTTCTAATGTAGATACAGGTACATCAACCTACCTCTTCCCATCTGTTCTAATGTAGATACAGGTACATCAACCTACCTCTTCCCATCTGTTCTAATGTAGATACAGGTACATCAATCTGACCTACCTCTTCCCATCTGTTCTAATGTAGATACAGGTACATCAACCTACCTCTTCCCATCTGTTCTAATGTAGATCAAATCTGACCTACCTCTTCCCATCTGTTCTAATGTAGATACAGGTACATCAACCTACCTCTTCCTATCTATTATTATATAGGTACAGGTACATCAACCTACCTCTTCCCATCTGTTCTAATGTAGATACAGGTACATCAACCTACCTCTTCCCATCTGTTCTAATGTAGATACAGGTACATCAATCTGACCTACCTCTTCCCATCTGTTCTAATGTAGATACAGGTACATCAATCTGACCTACCTCTTCCCATCTGTTCTCATGTACATACAGGTACATCAACCTACCTCTTCCCATCTGTTCTAAAGTAGATACAGGTACATCAATCTGACCTACCTCTTCCCATCTGTTCTAATGTAGATACAGGTACATCAACCTACCTCTTCCTATCTGTTCTAATGTAGATACAGGTACATCAATCTGACATACCTCTTCCCATCTGTTCTAATGTAGATACAGGTACATCAATCTGACCTACCTCTTTCCATCTGTTCTAATGTAGATACAGGTACATCAATCTGACCTACCTCTTCCCATCTGTTCTAATGTAGATACAGGTACATCAATCTGACCTACCTCTTCCCATCTGTTCTAATGTAGATACAGGTACATCAATCTGACCTACCTCTTCCCATCTGTTCAAATGTAGATACAGGTACATCAACCTACCTCTTCCCATCTGTTCAAATGTAGATACAGGTACATCAATCTGACCTACCTCTTCCTAACTGTTCTAATGTAGATACAGGTACATCAACCTACCTCTTCCCATCTGTTCTAATGTAGATACAGGTACATCAATCTGACCTACCTCTTCCCATCTATTCTAATGTAGGTACAGGTACATCAACCTACCTCTTCCTATCTGTAATAATGTAGGTACAGGTACATCAACCTACCTCTTCCTATCTGTTCTAATGTAGATTCAGGTACATCAACCTACCTCTTCCCATCTGTTCTAATGTAGATACAGATACATCAATCTGACCTACCTCTTCCCGTCTGTTCTGATGTAGATACAGGTACATCAATCTGACCTACCTCTTCCCATCTATCCTAATGTAGGTGCAGGTACATCAACCTACCTCTTCCCATCCGTTCTAATGTAGGTACAGGTACATCAACCTACCTCTTCCCATCTGTTCTAATGTAGATACAGGTACATCAATCTGACCTACCTCTTCCCATCTGTTCTAATGTAGGTATAGGTACATCAACCTACCTCTTCCTATCTGTAATAATGTAGGTACAGGTACATCAACCTACCTCTTCCTATCTGTAATAATGTAGATACAGGTACATCAACCTGACCTACCTCTTCCCATCTGTTCTAATGTAGATACAGGTACATCAACCTGACCTACCTCTTCCCATCTATTCTAATGTAGGTACAGGTACATCAATCTGACCTACCTCTTCCCATCTATTCTAATGTAGGTACAGGTACATCAATCTGACCTACCTCTTCCCATCTGTTCTAATGTTTATGATAATGATCAGGCCAATTTTCATTAACAATTGAAGGGACATATCTCAGTAACAATTGATGAGAACAATTCCAAGTAACATTTGATAAGGAGAAGTCTCAGTAACAAATGATAACAATTTTTAATAACAGCTGAGAAGGAAAGTTCTTGGTAACAATTGCAAGGTCAATTCTCAGTTAACAAATGATGAGGATAAGTTTGGGTCAGAACTGACAAGCTTCACTCACAGTGCATATTAAGTGAAAAACCAAGGTTTGGATTAGGAAGTAAAATCCAGTATCATATGGAAGAGAACAAAATTCTAAACATTTTTTAAAAATTTTCTTTCTACTTGATTAGGAAAGTGTAATTTGAATAGATTCTTAAATAAAATACACTTTTACACAAAGCACTAATTAGGCTCTCCAAAGAGAACGTTTTAGAAAGGATGTCATGTGTTTGCAAAATAGAGAACCTTGGTTTGTGCAACAATAATATTAAATTTCTTCCAGAAATTTTACATTTCCAATGTTCACATATGAAGCTGTTAATATTATAATAACTTTTAACACTGGTACCCATGAATCATTTATTTGTGCTCATTATGTTCCCCACACTGGCAGGTAATCTTTGACCTTACAACTGTCAAAGTTGACCTCTGGCATCACCTGTCGTCACCTTATTTTAATATTTTATAAAGGTCACATGATTGGCCTAGGTGAATGACCTTAACCTTTGTTAGAAGTGCCCTTGTATGATAGCACATCATTTATATAAAGTGGTGTGTAAAATGCATGGTATGGGTTCTGGTGATAAATGTATTCTTTTGTCAAAGACCAGAGGTCCATGTCCTGCCACAGAAGAGTGATCAGGATGTATAATGGACAATTCCAAAAACTGGTAGAATTATACACACCCAAATGATAACTGCCTAATTGTTTTGTCTGTCTGAACTGTAGTTATAAATTATGTTCAAAACCTTTCTTATTTTTCTTTCTTTTTCTTAGAAAATCTGTTTTACAACAAAAAATAACAAAAACTATACAAAAATGTTTTCTGCATTTTATTTATCATCAGCAAAATATCTACCCTTCATATTGGTGAATCCATATCTCATAAATAAAGCTAAATGAAGCAGCCCACACGTCAGGCTTGCTGTAAGTTTTTACAAACACACTGTAGGCACATTAAACACACAAGAAATTGGGGAGTTCAACACATACTGCAGGCTGTCAAAGACACTATCTGTGAATATGTTTCATAATTGTTATTAGTTCTATAATTTTCATTTTAACCAAACCGAAGGTCAAACAAAAATGAGATTACCTGATAAGTCATGATCTGGAGGAGCTCATGATAATTTGTCACCACCACTGACAAATGGTTTTTCTAAATGCATTCTGCACAAACTTTAGAAAAAATTTCTATCGAGAGGTTTGTTTTTTAACACAATACCTAATTCACATGACCCAACACTCCGAGCCTTCAGTCTTTACCAATTCCTGCTAGGAAATCACTGAAGAAACTTGTATACATTGTTAAATCTGAATGGAGAAGGTAAAGTACAGGAATGTTTGGGAGGCAGTCAATATTCATATTTCAAAAAGAAAAGTGACAAAAATAAGCAAACATTTAAATTTAGCCTCAAAAAATATGAAACAATTAACTTGAAAATTAACAAGCAACAAAATAAGCACAACCATGTTGTTTTATTTCGGAAATAACTGTATTTTTTATTTGTATGACAAGTGGTACTCTGAGGTAGGGCTGTAGTGTAAGTCTCTACGACAACAGATAGCACCATATGTGGAAACTTACACTACAGGTGTCCTAGTCATGTTTGTCCTAGCTCAATGTAGCTACTCTGCATTTAAAGTGACTTGCAGAGAAACCCTCCAATTAAAGAAAATGTTTTATAATGAATTCAGTCCAAAATCATGAATTTAAATCATTTTCTTCATAGCTCTCATTTTGTATTCTATGTAAAGAACATGAAGTTTTACTGGGACAAGTGTCAAGGATTCCCTCTGTGGGGTATTTGATAACTTTTCATCACAAATTGACCACTATAATTTACATTCATAAGAAAGATACTCCTATCATGAATAGTCTATTTGATAACAACAGAAACATTCAAATATTTTTGCATTCTCTATAAACATTATACTTACAATAACTGATAATGTACACCAATGATAACATAAACAGCCTAAAACGGATCATTCTCTTCATTTCATTCTCAATATGTATATAAATAAAACATCCAACAGAATACATACAGAATATCTCTAGGAACAATATATATAACAGTCATACAAAATCACACCCAGTCTGTATGACATCGCCTCTCATATCATACACTCTGTATGACATCACCTCTCACATCATACACTCTGTATGACGTCACCTCTCATATCATGCAGTCTGTATGACATCGCCTCTCATATCATACACTCTGTATGACATCGCCTCTCATATCATACACTCTGTATGACATCGCCTCTCACAGCATACAGTTTGTATGACATCGCCTCTCATATCATACACTCTGTATGACATCTCTCATATCATACACTCTGTATGACATCGCCTCTCATATCATACACAGTCTGTATGACATCGCCTCTCATATCATACACTCTGTATGACGTCACCTCTCATATCATGCAGTCTGTATGACATCGCCTCTCATATCATACACTCTGTATGACATCGCCTCTCATATCATACACTCTGTATGACATCGCCTCTCATATCATACACTCTGTATGACATCGCCTCTCATATCATACACTATGTATGACATCGCCTCTCACAGCATACAGTTTGTATGACATCGCCTCTCATATCATACACTCTGTATGACATCTCCTCTCATATCATACACTCTGTATGACATCGCCTCTCATATCATACAGTCTGTATGACGTCACCTCTCATATCATGCAGTCTGTATGACATCGCCTCTCATATCATACACTCTGTATGACATCGCCTCTCATATCATACACTCTGTATGACATCGCCTCTCACAGCATACAGTTTGTATGACATCGCCTCTCATATCATACACTCTGTATGACATCTCCTTTCATATCATACACTCTGTATGACATCGCCTCTCATATCATACACAGTCTGTATGACATCACCTCTCATATCATACACTCTGTATGACATCGCCTCTCATAGCATACAGTTTGTATGACATCACCTCTCATATCATACATTCTGTATGACATCGCCTCTCATAGCATACAGTTTGTATGACATCACCTCTCATATCATACTGTCTGTATGACATCACCTCTCATATCATACACAGTTTGTATGACATTGTCTCTCATATCATACACAGTTTGTATGAAATCTCCTCTCAAAACATGCAGTCTGTATGACATCGCCTCTCAAAACATGCAGTCGGTATGACATCACCTCTCATATCATACACAGTTTGTATGACATTGCCTCTCGAACACATAAAAAACTACAACAATAAGCACTTATAAACAAAGCAAACAAATAACGAATATTTAAACAATGTTCAGTAGAACACATATGTATATCAAACACAATAGTTTAAAAACCTTTTGTATAACAAATATTCTCAGATCTCAACAGCTCCGATGATATCCCCTATCAATGTACCTAATACTGAAAGTCGGGTCATTTGTACCCTGCATCCTTGTATACAGACAGAACACTACACAGTAAAGAGCAGACAGAATGGGCAAACAGGAACTTACAGCATTAATACTTTCTATTTTCTTCAATACATAGAAAAAACACACAAAAAAATGCAGAAATTGTTGAAGAAATTTGATGATTGCAATAGCTCAAAAAAAGTTTAAATATAGAGCCTGGATTGCATGATCTTATATTAATGAGAGTGTACAGGTGTGAACTAGTAAAAATATTATGTCACCTGGAACATATTGCTTTCCAATAAAAAAAATTACAGAATAAATCAACTTCCATTGCTGCATTTGTATAAGGAAGTTAAAAAGGACAAATGCACTTATATGCCCAACATAAAAAAATCCTGCCAGTTAAATTGGGAAAAAAACACCTGTATAAATATTGTTATATTGAAGCTGTGTATAGAACAACCATATAGTGTGTATGATAGCTGACATTTATATACATAGAGATCCTCCATTATATCTCATCCATGGCAGTTTATAAGACTGTGAATTGCAGTGTATGGGAAGGTCATACATAGATATATATATATATATATATATCAGTGTATGAGGATTCATGGGTCTGTGAATGTCACAAGTTTCATGGCTCTGTGAATATCACAAGTTTCATGGGTCTGTACATCAGTTAGGTGTGAATGTTTTCGGATCATTGTGAACAAGTACAGCAGTTTTTATATGGATTCATGGTTCTGTGTGAATATCTACTGCAGTGTAAGAGGGTTCATAAATCTGTAAATATCGATGGTAACTAATAAAGTACAAAGTTTTGTGTCAATGGCAGTGTACAACTAAATTGATAAGACTGTGAACACAACCTAGATCAATAATGGTGAGTGTTAGCTGGACAGACCATATTTTTAGGACAAATTAAATCCAAATATCCTTCATTTTCACTTTGCATTTTGTGAATAGTAGTTTCTGCTTTTATCAATTTAAACTACAATATGTGCATACTAGTGTTTGTGGTTATCAACTTAATAGATTAATTCGACGAACAACATCGAAGATAGGGATGGAGGGTATTATGAAGGATGGGGGGATGTGAAGCCAAACTAATGAATGAAACGCATGTAAATAACGTAATGATGGAGACAGATTCAAAATAACAAAACAAAACCACTATATATAGAACAGAAAATCTGCGAAACATATCCAAAATATAAAGCAAACATATACACACAGATGTTGTAACAAACAAGCATTAATAGAGTAAAAAAATTTGAATCAGGTTAGTAACAAATCCCAGCCTACCTAATACTAACAGGATCTATCTTAGAGTATGATCAACACTGAATTACAATGGACTTGTAATCACTGAGGTTATCTGCTGACATACTGTATCCCCATCACAGAAAAGACCAGCTGAAGTTTGAAAATCTTGTCATCAGATGAGAGCAAAATTTCCAAATCTAAATAATTCTCTAGCACAGAGAAGGAATTTATAAGAACAGGTTATCAAAATTTAAGTAAAACCATTTTCTAGAAATAACTCCCTTATAACTACCACACATCAGCACCAATAAGACTGGAAAACATTTCATTACAAATACTACCTTAGATCTATCCTGAAGTTGCACTGATCATTTTTAAACGATGGCGATATGAAGTACCACATTTGACTAGCAATAGACCATAGCCTGTTAATATACATATTAGTATCAGTTCAGTCAAGAAATTACCAAGACCTGGACTAATTTTTCTATAATAAGCCCACTAACTGACAGTCAGTCACAGGTTACAGGAAGTGAGCCACTGGGTTTATTGCTGTGTATTAAGCCCACCACCTGACTGTGAGACAGTCACAGGTAAGGTAAGCCCCTGGGTTTATTGCTGTGTAATAAGCCCACCACCTGAGTGAGAGTCAGACACAGGTAAGGTAAGCCCCTGGGTTTATTGCCGTGTATTAAGCCCACCACCTGACCGAGAGTCAGTCACAGGTAAGGTAAGCCCCTGGTTTTATTGCCGTGTAGTAAACCCACCACCTGAGTGAGAGTCAGACACAGGTAAGGTAAGCCCCTGGGTTTATTGCCGTGTATTAAGCCCACCACCTGACCGAGAGTCAGACACAGGTAAGGTAAGCCCCTGGGTTTATTGCCGTGTATTAAGCCCACCACCTGACCGAGAGTCAGTCACAGGTAAGGTAAGCCCCTGGGTTTATTGCCTTGTAGTAAACCCACCACCTGAGTGAGAGTCAGACACAGGTAAGGTAAGCCCCTGGGTTTATTGCTGTGTAGTAAGCCCACCACCTTAGTGAGAGTCAGACACAGGTAAGGTAAGCCCCTGGGTTTATTGCTGTGTAGTAAGCCCCCCACCTGACTGAGAGAGAGTCACAAGATATGTGAGCCCCTAGGCTTTTTACAGCTGAATAAATACAGTACCTCAATTAGCATTTTTTAAAATATATCAACTACTACTGCAGTGTTATCAGGTCATGTTCCTTCCTCATATTATGCAATTGCTGTGAATTATTCCTTACATTGATATACACTATAGTACACACTAGAATACTACAGCGTGATAAGGTTTTAAGGAATTAACTAGTTGTAGTAGGTACTCCTTTCACTAAATACTGTATAACTGTCACTGGGCATTAATCTGCATCTAGTACTGATAATAACTGATTTTTCAATTTAAGATTCCAACATTTTCAAAACAGATGATCTGAAAACTTAATAGATTTTGTGCTTGAAATAGTCATGATAGAAATCATTGTATTTCTCCTTTTTTAATCCTGGGACAATAAATGCTACAACTGTTGGTGTATAACAAGACATCAGTGTATGTATCGACCAAACTCACTCCACTTTAACCTCTTCAAATGATGCACGGGGGAGGATCTTGGTGTCAATGTTAATGTTACAAACCCTGGAACATTTAAGTATAAAAGTATTGCATTTGATTATGAGTAACAGAATGTCAATCCTGATGTTTTACAAACAGCTGATCTACCCTGACAAAATGTGATCAAACCCTTAATATTGGAAAAATTAGAAAAATCAATTCATCAAATACATTTGTTATATATTTCAAAACTGTCATTCATATCCATGAGCAATAGGAATTAGTAACCCAGAGGGCTTGTATCACTTAGCTGGATATTTAAGTCAACAATGCAAAACATATTTCTCTTGAAGGAAAATATTTCCCCTGATTAGCCTCGCCCCACAGATACAGCTTCAAATTCCCTAGGGGTAGGGATAGAGATCAGTTTTTAATCTCTTGACTCCAGCAATGCTATTAAGTTATGGGGTGATAAGCTCAATGGCTTCAAAGATATGATCTGTCCAGGGGTTAACAACATCCTGAAATTCCTGAAGATCAAGGTAGATTTTACAGAATTGATAGATTTTCAATAATGGGCCCCACCTATCTGGCCTTAAGGAGGTTGAGACCCAACGTTTACACAAAACTGATTTCCCTCCTCCCAAGCATGCTTCAGACCAATTTCTGAAGAACAAGATAGATTTTAAAGAAATTGATAAATTATACCTACTGAGCCCCCGCCTTTAGCCCTTTTACTTTCCCCAAAGATGCTCTAGACCAAATCTGATTAAAATCCACTCAGTTGTTCATGAATATTTGCAATATATAGTAAAAGTGAACAATGAACAATGGACGATGGATGATGGAAGACGGACGACAGACGCAGGGGTATCCCTATAGCTCACTTTGCCCTTCTGGTAAGGCAAGCTAAAAATGATGGTGTCTACGATCTAATATTTTGTAAAAAGAACTATAATAGCACAAACTGAGACATATTTGTCAAAAGATTTACAATCTTCAACATCAAATGCTTCAAATACATGAAAGCTAGCTGAATAATAACTACAGGAGACAAAATAAAGCTTCAGAAATTATTTTCATAAAGCAGAAACTATGGATGCAAATGCTTTGAACTATGTATTTTTAGAAGCAAAAATTGCCATGGTTTAAACAAGCATTATAACTTTAAAAAAGCTGCCTTTATAATCACGATAGAACTACCAAAAGTCAATCACTCAAAGCTAAATTAGCACTATCAGTTTTGTACAAAAGAATAGCATCATTACTTTTGGGGGAATTTACATGTAGATTATAGCAAATTTTAAAACATTTGGAATATTTCAGTTTTTTATTTTCAGTTGAATCATTCACAAGGAACATTTTATTTACTCAGACATTGAGACCAGACTAACTTACATTAGAAATCAGATTAGTAAAGTTGGAGAGTACACCCGATGGAAATCCTGAGGTACTGCATGAAGAAACAGGGGAATCTCTCAGCAATGTTACATCATTCATTTTTGTGGAGGATTTCTTTTTGTTTATTCCTGGGTATTCTTATTCCATGAATTCATATGTCGGTGAAATGTTCAAATAAGTAGATTTATTGAGCTACATTTATCCATGAAATCAAGAGTCGAGAAAACCATCAAAGTCCCATAAAATTCTGACAGTAGTGTAAAGCTTCAGACTGTCTGTGTCGGTGGGGACTGATTACACATATCAACATTAATGATGACTTAGACAAGGAATTGTAACAATGAAATAAGATTCTGAGATGAATGATGAAATATTGCTACAAGTCTGTGATTTGGTAACGTGTTGCAGCATGCTTGGCCGGGGGAACCTGAGGAGCAGGTTGCTGAGGATAAGGACTTGAACCTCGATACTGATTACCCCCATAGTCTATGTACCCCACACCATTCTGTGTGGGCTTATGGGTGGGGGTCGTGGGGCCACTGTTACATCCTGACACGGCAGGAGACTGTCCTGATCCATATAGGTCCCTAGGAGTTATTTGTGGTTCCTGCTCTTGAGGAAATGTGGAATCTGATTGGGACCCTGTAGGGTGAGGGTAGGATTCCAGGGATGCAGGCATGATAGCAATACTGTCACGTTGTTTTCCACTGGCATCCCGATACAGCTTGTTCTGTATGTTGTGTGTATAGGGGTCTATGTAGAAAGTCTCTTCAGGATACTGCTGAGAAAGTCGCTGAATGTGACACATGTGACAGAACAGGTGGTCCTCCAGGGGGTAGCACCGTTTGTCTGGTTCATCTGTCAGCTGGATACCACAGTCCTGTAATATATATATATAGTGTCAGTATACAGAAGGAAAGGGCACTTAGTCATAAATACACATAACAGGGGAGATAATTACACCAGGTGTTAGGGTAGCCTCAATGTAAATTATATTCTACCAGGTAAACCTGTACCCATTACTTAATAGGTGACATGACTGCCTTAATGTTACTCAGATCAGTTTGGATGTATGTAACATTTTGCGTTACTTGTATTTTTTGCAGTGTATCCATTAAGATAGTTTAAATGTTTAAAGCTTAGCAGTATAAATCTCATGCAATGATGAGGTGCACAGCAAACAGGTTATTTACAGTGGCAGTGTTACGTGTAGGGACCAACCTATTTCATGCATGAATATCACTGGTAGAACACTTGTAGTCCGATGTTCAACTGCTGTATATTTATAGGTGTACAGACTAAATAGATTCATAGTGTTAGGTGCATTTACTTTAGTAAGCATCGAGCTGTTCTTCCACATTGATTCTAGAGATAAACATTGAGCTGTCCTTCCACATTTACTCTACAGAGATACATTGAGCTGTCCTTAATCATTTAATCTACAGAGATACATTGAGCTGTCCTTCCACATTTAATCTACACAGATACACTGAGTTGTCCTTCCTCATTTAATCTACAGAGAAACATTGAGCTGTCCTTCCACATTTACTCTACAGAGATACATTGAGCTGTCCTTCCTCATTTAATCTACAGAGAAACATTGAGCTGTCCTTCCACATTTAATCTACAGAGATACATTGAGCTGTCCTTCCACATTTAAACTACAGAGATACATTGAGCTGTCCTTCCACATTTACTCTAGAGCGATACATTGCGCTGTCCTTCAAAATTTACTCTAGAGAGATACATTGAGCTGTCCTTCCACATTTAATCTACAGAGATACATTGAGCTGTCCTTCCACATTTAATCTACAGAGATACATTGAGCTGTCCTTCCACACTGACCTCTATGCAGGATCAACAATAACACTTTTGTCCAGTATTTATGGTAACTGTTTGATCCTAAGCACAGCATATTTTTATATACTTTTAAATATTACTGTTTCAAATGTAGATGACATCTTAAGCTGAAGCTGTGCGGCTTTGTTCATTCATGAAGAATGGACATAAATAGGGGTTATCCAGATGGTATCCAGGATTTCTAGGTAACTAATGTAAATATAGAGCAGATTTTTCATTATCCTGATGGTGTTCAGGATTTCTAGGTCACTAATGAAAATATAGAGCAGGACTCATCAACAAATGATGAAAGATCTCATCATAAACAAAAAACCAATTTAGTAATAAAATATGAGTAAAGTGTACCAAGTAGGAGATTTGTAGTCTGAATAATCTGCAGTCCTATTAAGAAATGGAGAGCTCCAGCCATAGAATGACGGTAACACAAGGATCATTTGTCAATGTTTCTGCACAAATTCCTAAATATTTATCTGGTATCATCATTAATCAACTTGTGCCGCGACAATTTCTTCGGAAAGATAGAAGTTATGATGAGGAATACCGAGTTTCTATTGTTTCTACAGGGAATAACTACAGAAAAAATTCTACAGGGGGTAACAAGTTCACGATAGTAAAGGTTGGTAAAAAACTGAAAACAAAATCAAAGATTAAAATATTGGTTGTATTAAATATAATACTGGGAATACAGGAGGAACAAAGTAAAAACAGACTAAATATTTATACAGTTCACCAGTCTACCCATAACACACCCAAATCACCAACATACCACAACACCAAGTACCTCCATCTAAATCATCATTCTCAAATACAATAGGATATTAATATTGATCAGCTATTGTTAATAGTGCAGCTTGTCAGGCGCTGTGTCATCCTCATCAAATATTGAAATTACAAAGTTATTTTTTCTATATTTACTTTCAGGAAATTCCCTGGATTAAATCAATATTCTGATCAACTTTTAATATTTTTGTAACTGAATTAACTTTGAAGTAAATACAAATTCATATTACACAATTTTCAAGCTGTGAGTATCACGAGAAGAAATGTTGAGTCAAAATTCCACAAAACAGGTTTCTTAATCAAATTAGAATGCCTTTTTAAAATGAAACTAGAAATATCTAATGGTCCAAATCCATGCCTGGTGAAGGGTACTTACTATCAGAGTAATAAAATTGCAAAATGAATATAATGTAACTGAAGCACAAACAAAAGGCTAAAGGTACATCACAAAACCAGCTTACTGTTATAATAACTATCAGCCTTCCATTACTTTGTCTGTGGAAGCAAAACAAAACAAAATCAACATGAGAACCAAAAGATTGTGTACTGGCAGACTTCTCCTCCCAGCACAGGCATCAGGTGTTCAGGGTATAAATACATGTGACCATATATACTCCATAAAGGGTACTAAGATAAGGTAGATGTAGACAGCAACTGGTGGTGGCAGGAGGATAAAGGAGGAAACAAAATTGTTTGATGTAATCTATACAGGTAAAATATAGGATGATAATTCTATGATAGCAGATGAAGGCAGGTTCATTACTTGTAAATAACATGACATACAATGTAAGTGTTGAAAGCAGGTACTTCACACACAAAACAATGAAAAACATTCTAATTGGTTTTCTTTAAACAATCACAAAAATTCTCATGGTATATTTGGCGTAGATTCCAGCTTATTGCCTAGTATATTAACTTAGTGATATGACAGAAATTCTTACCTCACAATGGTAACAGTCAACATGGAAATCTTTGTCCATGGAAACAACACGTACTGTCTCCTCGGTGCCCTGTCAAAAATATAAAATAGTTATCCCCCTTTACTACAGACAAATATGTATGTATTTCTCCCTCTAACTAAAACTGTAATCTCTTGTTATCTACCTTTGTTACTTATACACACAAATCATATTGTGTCACTGTATTACATGCAAATATATCAGCAATTGTCCTTTCTATCTTTTGATCCATTCCTATATCTTATAGTACATTGTCAATTATCTCCCCATGAGGATTATCTTCATAACTAGAGTATTCTGCAAAACCTGGAAGCTCCTACTACAAAGCACAGAGAGGTAAGTGTTATTTTTTATAAATATACATATAAATACCAACAGTGTCAGCAAAACATTAAACCCAGTAGAAGATCAAAGTGCCTTAAAATAGGAATGAAGTCAGTATCATGATGTCACTGATAAGATTAACAATTCTCCTTTATAGTAACACTGACTTTGACCTTGAACTGTCATGTTGGTTCCAGTATGAAGTTTGATTAAAGACCCTAAAGAATAGGAACATGAGGTGGTGAAATGACATGAGTAATACTACAAGTCATCCTCTAAAATGGAAGGATAATTTTTTTCTTGGCAAATATTTAAGTCCACTACATAAAAGCATACTAATGTTATCAGATTTCATAAACTTTCAAATGTTTATTATTTTGAAGAATTATTTGTCATTTTGATATGAAAACCACTACAAATAGAACTAACAGTTCCTACTGAGATGAACAGAGAGAGACTTGATGTCATTAAAAGTTCAATACCAGATGAAAATAAAGTTAATGTGGGATAACTATAATGAGGCAGTAAAGTTTGACAACAAAATACTAAAATGTGACAGTGTACCTGATACTGACTAATGTTATGGGTATAACACATTAATTAAATGATATTCTAGATCTCCCACTCTACACACACATTACCCAGCCAGGTTACTTACATTCTAACTTTTGTGTCATACCTATCTACTCACTAAAGCTATAGATAAAATTACAAGAATACAGGTATCACCAAATGCCTCACAATGATATTACCTTACACTTACTTAAATTCATGTACATAAACATGTAACTTCACTTAACACCTGTACACAAGTCTCATCACTTAACACCTGTACACAAGTCTCATCACTTAACACCTGTACACAAGTCTCATCATTTAACACCTGTACACAAGTCTCATCACTTAACACCTGTACACAAGTCTCATCGCTTAACACCTGTACACAAGTCTCATCATTTAACACCTGTACACAAGTCTCATCACTTAACACTTGTACTCAAGTCTCATCACTTAACACCTGTACCCAAGTCTCTCCACTTAACACCTGTACACAAGTCTCATCACTCAACACCTGTACACAAGTCTCATCACTTAAAACCTGTACACAAATCTCATCACTTAACACCTGTACACAAGTCTCATCACTTAACACTTGTACACAAGTCTCATCACTTAACACCTGTACACAAGACTCTCACTCAACACCTGTACACAAGTCTCATCACTTAACACCTGTACACAAGTCTCATCACTTAACACCTGTACACAAGTCTCATCACTTAACACCTGTACACAAGTCTCATCACTTAACACCTGTACACAAGTCTCATCACTTAACACTTGTACACAAGTCTCATCACTTTACACCTGTACACAAGACTCTCACTCAACACCTGTACACAAGACTCTCACTCAACACCTGTACACAAGTCTCATCACTTAACACTTGTACTAAAGCCCATCACTTCTCTCTTCCCTGTACACAAGTCTCAACACTTAACACCTGTACACAAGTCTCATCACTTAACACCTGTACACAAGTCTCATCACTTAACACCTGTACACAAGTCTCATCACTTAACACCTGTACACAAGTCTCATCACTTAACACCTGTACACAAGTCTCATCACTTAACACCTGTACACAAGTCTCATCACTTAACACCTGTACACAAGTCTCATCACTTAACACCTGTACACAAGTCTCATCACTTAACACCTGTACACAAGTCTCATCACTTAACACCTGTACACAAGTCTCATCACTTAACACCTGTACACAAGTCTCATCACTTAACACCTGTACACAAGTCTCATCACTCAACACCTGTACACAAGTCTCATCACTCAACACCTGTACACAAGTCTCATCATTCAACACCTGTACACAAGTCTCATCACTTAACACCTGTACACAAGTCTCATCACTTAACACCTGTACACAAGTCTCATCACTCAACACCTGTACACAAGTCTCTCCACTTAACACCTGTACACAAGTCTCATCACTTAACACCTGTACACAAGTCTCATCACTTAACACCTGTACACAAGTCTCATCACTCAACACCTGTACACAAGTCTCTCCACTTAACACCTGTACACAAGTCTCATCACTTAACACCTGTACACAAGTCTCATCACTTAACACCTGTACACAAGTCTCATCACTTAACACCTGTACACAAGTCTCATCACTTAACACCTGTACACAAGTCTCATCACTTAACACCTGTACACAAGTCTCATCACTTAACACCTGTACACAAGTCTCATCACTTAACACCTGTACACAAGTCTCATCACTTAACACCTGTACACAAGTCTCATCACTTAACACCTGTACACAAGTCTCATCACTTAACACCTGTACACAAGTCTCATCACTTAACACCTGTACACAAGTCTCATCACTTAACACCTGTACACAAGTCTCATCACTTAACACCTGTACACAAGTCTCATCACTTAACACTTGTACACAAGTCTCATCACTTAACACCTGTACACAAGTCTCATCATTTAACACCTGTACACAAGTCTCATCACTTAACACTTGAACACAAGTCTCATCACTTAACACCTGTACACAAGTCTCATCACTTAACACGTGTACACAAGTCTCATCACTTAACACCTGTACACAAGTCTCATCACTTCTCTCTTCTGTACACAAGTCTCATCACTTAACACCTGTACACAAGTCTCATCACTTAACACCTGTACACAAGTCTCATCATTTAACACCTGTACACAAGTCTCATCACTTAACACCTGTACACAAGTCTCATCACTTAACACTTGTACTCAAGTCTCATCACTTAACACCTGTACACAAGTCTCATCACTTAACACTTGTACTAAAGCCCATCACTTCTCTCTTCCCTGTACACAAGTCTCATCACTTAACACCTGTACACAAGTCTCATCACTTAACACCTGTACACAAGTCTCATCACTTAACACCTGTACACAAGTCTCATCACTTAACACCTGTACACAAGTCTCATCACTTAACACCTGTACACAAGTCTCATCACTTAACACCTGTACACAAGTCTCATCACTTAACACGTGTACACAGGTCTCATCACTTAACACCTGTACACAAGTCTCATCACTTAACACCTGTACACAAGACTCTCACTCAACACCTGTACACATGTCTCATCACTTAACACTTGTACAAAGCCCATCACTTCTCTCTTCCCTGTACACAAGTCTCATCACTTAACACCTGTACACAAGTCTCATCACTTGTACTCTCTCACTCAACACCTGTACACAAGTCTCATCATTCAACACCTGTACACAAGTCTCATCACTTAACACCTGTACACAAGTTAACACCTGTACACAAGTCTCATCACTTAACACCTGTACACAAGTCTCATCACTTAACACCTGTACACAAGTCTCATCACTCAACACGTGTACACAAGTCTCATCACTTAACACCTGTACACAAGTCTCATCACTTAACACCTGTACACAAGACTCTCACTCAACACCTGTACACAAGTCTCATCACTTAACACTTGTACTAAAGCCCATCACTTCTCTCTTCCCTGTACACAAGTCTCATCACTTAACACTTGTGCTAAAGCCCATCACTTCTCTCTTCCCTGTACACAAGTCTCATCACTTAACACCTGTACACAAGTCTCATCATTTAACACCTGTACACAAGTCTCATCACTTAACACTTGTACTCAAGTCTCATCAATTAACACTTGTACTCAAGTCTCATCACTTAACACCTGTACACAAGTCTCATCACTTAACACTTGTACTAAAGCCCATCACTTCTCTCTTCCCTGTACACAAGTCTCATCACTTAACACCTGTACACAAGTCTCATCACTTAACACCTGTACACAAGTCTCATCACTTAACACCTGTACACAAGTCTCATCACTTAACACCTGTACACAAGTCTCATCACTTAACACCTGTACATAAGTCTCATCACTTAACACCTGTACACAAGTCTCATCACTTAACACCTGTACACAAGTCTCATCACTCAACACGTGTACACAGGTCTCATCACTTAACACCTGTACACAAGTCTCATCACTTAACACCTGTACACAAGACTCTCACTCAACACCTGTACACAAGTCTCATCACTTAACACTTGTACTAAAGCCCATCACTTCTCTCTTCCCTGTACACAAGTCTCATCACTTAACACCTGTACACAAGTCTCATCACTCAACACCTGTACACAAGTCTCATCACTCAACACCTGTACACAAGTCTCATCATTCAACACCTGTACACAAGTCTCATCACTTAACACCTGTACACAAGTCTCATCATTCAACACCTGTACATAAGTCTCATCACTTAACACCTGTACACAAGTCTAATCACTTAACACCTGTACACAAGTCTCATCACTCAACACGTGTACACAAGTCTCATCACTTAACACCTGTACACAAGTCTCATCACTTAACACCTGTACACAAGACTCTCACTCAACACCTGTACACAAGTCTCATCACTTAACACTTGTACTAAAGCCCATCACTTCTCTCTTCCCTGTACACAAGTCTCATCACTTAACACTTGTGCTAAAGCCCATCACTTCTCTCTTCCCTGTACACAAGTCTCTCACTTCATTCACTTCAACTATTAAGATTACATAATATTTTCATGTGACCTGATATTTAGAAAGGCATTCTAGCATTTAGCCATTTTTTTTCTTTGAAAATTTTACTTGACTGATTTTTAAATTTACACCTTCATATATCTTAAAATTTAATCATGTCTCAACTTGTATGTATAAGGCAATAATTCAGTACATTAAAGGCCTCATTACTTTGGAGCAATTACATAGGTAACAGCATCAACACGCTGAAGAACACTTACCTCCACCGGTGTTATAGCCTGGCCACAAGCAGCACATTTAGGTGCATACACTCTGTCAACATAAAATTGTTTTCATTACAACAGAGGAACAGATGACTGTATAATGTCTGTAGATATTTATAACAAAAGATACATGTATTTATAACAAAAGATATATATGTATTTATAACAAAGGATACATGTATTTATAACAAAGGATACATGTATTTATAACAAAAGATATATGTATTTATAACAAAAGATATATGTATTTATAACAAAGGATATATATGTTTATAGCAAAGGATATATATGTATTTATAACAAAGGATACATGTATTTATAACAAAAGATATATATGTATTTATAACAAAAGATATATATGTATTTATAACAAAGGATACATGTATTTATAACAAAAGATATATGTATTTATAACAAAGGATATATGTGTTTATAGCAAAGGATATATATGTATTTATAACAAAGGATACATGTATTTATAACAAAGGATACATGTATTTATAACAAAAGATATATGTATTTATAACAAAGGATATATGTATTTATAACAAAAGTTACATGTATTTATAACAAAAGATATATGTATTTATAACAAAGGATACATGTATTTATAACAAAATGATACCTGTATTAGGTCTGTCGATGGTTACTTGAAAATAGATTCAGGTACTTAGTACAGTAATCATGGTTACAGCTATTTAGTACAGGTTTGTATTTCTGATGTAAATATGGTATTAATTACTTTCAATACAGTTGTTTGTTACTGTCAATAAACTCCTGTCAATACAGGTGTTTGTTACTGTCAATAAAGGTGTTTGTTACTGTCAATACAGGTGTTTGTTACTGTCAATACATGTGTTTGTTACTGTCAATACAAGAGTTTATTACTGTCAATACAGGTGTTTGTTACTGTCAATAAAGGTGTTTGTTACTGTCAATACAGGTATTAGCTATTGCCAATACAGGTGTTTGTTACTGTCAATACAGGTGTTTGTTACTGTCAATAAAGGTGTTTGTTACTGTCAATACAGGTGTTTGTTACTGTCAATACAGGTGACAATACAGGCGTTTGTTACTGTCAATACAGGTGTTTGTTACTGTCAATACAGGTACTTGTTACTGTCAATACAGGTGTTTGTTACTGTCAATAAAGGTGTTTGTTACTGTCAATACAGGTATTAGCTACTGTCAATACAGGTACTTGTTACTGTCAATACAGGTGTTTGTTACTGTCAATAAAGGTGTTTGTTACTGTCAATACAGGTGTTTGTTACTGTCAATACATGTGTTTGTTACTGTCAATACAAGAGTTTATTACTGTCAATACAGGTGTTTGTTACTGTCAATAAAGGTGTTTGTTACTGTCAATACAGGTATTAGCTATTGCCAATACAGGTGTTTGTTACTGTCAATACAGGTACTTGTTACTGTCAATACAGGTGTTTGTTACTGTCAATAAAGGTGTTTGTTACTGTCAATACAGGTATTAGCTACTGTCAATACAGGTACTTGTTACTGTCAATACAGGTGTTTGTTACTGTCAATAAAGGTGTTTGTTACTGTCAATAACAGGTGTTTGTTACTGTCAATACATGTGTTTGTTACTGTCAATACAAGAGTTTATTACTGTCAATACAGGTGTTTGTTACTGTCAATAAAGGTGTTTGTTACTGTCAATACAGGTATTAGCTATTGCCAATACAGGTGTTTGTTACTGTCAATAAAGGTGTTTGTTACTGTCAATACAGGTGTTTGTTACTGTCAATACATGTGTTTGTTACTGTCAATACAAGAGTTTATTACTGTCAATACAGGTGTTTGTTACTGTCAATAAAGGTGTTTGTTACTGTCAATACAGGTATTAGCTATTGCCAATACAGGTGTTTGTTACTGTCAATACAGGTGTTTGTTACTGTCAATAAAGGTGTTTGTTACTGTCAATACAGGTGTTTGTTACTGTCAATACAGGTGTTTGTTACTGTCAATACAAGAGTTTATTACTGACAATACAGGCGTTTGTTACTGTCAATACAGGTGTTTGTTACTGTCAATACAGGTGTTTGTTACTGTCAATACAGGTATTAGCTACTGTCAATACAGGTGTTTGTTACTGTCAATACAGGTGTTTGTTACTGTCAATACAGGCATTTGTTACTGTCAATACAGGTATTAGCTACTGTCAATACAGGCATTTGTTACTGTCAATACAGGTATTAGCTACTGTCAATACAGGTACTTGTTACTGTCAATACAGGTGTTTGTTACTGTCAATAAAGGGTGTTTGTTACTGCCAATACAGGTGTTTGTTACTGTCAATACAGGCATTTGTTACTGTCAATACAGGTATTAGCTACTGTCAATACAGGTACTTGTTACTGTCAATACAGGTGTTTGTTACTGTCAATACAGGTGTTTGTTACTGTCAATACAAGAGTTTATTACTGACAATACAGGCGTTTGTTACTGTCAATACAGGTATTAGCTACTGTCAATACAGGTACTTGTTACTGTCAATACAGGTGTTTGTTACTGTCAATACAGGTGTTTGTTACTGTCAATACAAGAGTTTATTACTGACAATACAGGCGTTTGTTACTGTCAATACAGGTGTTTGTTACTGTCAATACAGGTGTTTGTTACTGTCAATACAGGTATTAGCTACTGTCAATACAGGTGTTTGTTACTGTCAATACAGGTGTTTGTTACTGTCAATACAGGCATTTGTTACTGTCAATACAGGTATTAGCTACTGTCAATACAGGCATTTGTTACTGTCAATACAGGTATTAGCTACTGTCAATACAGGTACTTGTTACTGTCAATACAGGTGTTTGTTACTGTCAATAAAGGGTGTTTGTTACTGCCAATACAGGTGTTTGTTACTGTCAATACAGGCATTTGTTACTGTCAATACAGGTATTAGCTACTGTCAATACAGGTACTTGTTACTGTCAATACAGGTGTTTGTTACTGTCAATACAGGTGTTTGTTACTGTCAATACAAGAGTTTATTACTGACAATACAGGCGTTTGTTACTGTCAATACAGGTGTTTGTTACTGTCAATACAGGTGTTTGTTACTGTCAATACAGGTATTAGCTACTGTCAATACAGGTGTTTGTTACTGTCAATACAGGTGTTTGTTACTGTCAATACAGGTATTAGCTACTGTCAATACAGGTGTTTGTTACTGTCAATACAGGTGTTTGTTACTGTCAATACAGGTACTTGTTACTGTCAATACAGGTGTTTGTTACTGTCAATAAAGGTGTTTGTTACTGTCAATACAGGTATTAGCTACTGTCAATACAGGTACTTGTTACTGTCAATACAGGTGTGTGTTACTGTCAATACAGGTGTTTGTTAATACACGTACTTGTTATTGTCAATACAGGTGTTTGTTACTGTCAATACAGGTATTAGCTACTGTCAATACAGGTACTTGTTACTGTCAATACAGGTGTTTGTTACTGTCAATACAGGTATTAGCTACCGTCAATACAAAAAAACCAGCGGTGTAAATACATAAATACAGCACCAAATACAAATACCATTGGGCTTAAACCCCATTGTTTTAACTTGTTGATATAGTGAATTAGAAATGTTGAAGCTGATATGTTGTGACAGATGGAATGGGAACAGACAAGTTCGTGGGAGGTCAAACCTGACGAACAAGTCTCCATGTACAATGCCACCTAGCCTGTACAACATGTAATAATTACATCAAATCTGACTCATACAAATTCATTACAGAGACCTGACACAGACTGCTGGAGAAATATCTCAACAATTTCTAACCACAGCATGTCAGTGTAACTGTAACGACTAAACAAACGACCCTGATAGTTATAAACAATCAAATACATGGGGTTGGTATTTAGTTATAAAATCAGTTTTAAGTACAATTTTTTTCTTCACCTAGTGTCTTATATAGGCTTTAAAACTAGGTTCTGATTAGAGTGACTCATCACATTCACAGACAATTGTTAAAGGTGTTCCGATATGACAAAACTTTGTTGAATCATTCATCAATTTTCCATTACGTAATTCATAAAAGCAAATCATTTGTATAGATAGTTCATTGACAGTTGCTTAACAAAAGTATCATAATAAAACCCACTCAATACATGAAATCATTCGTGCAATACCTGTAAGACACAATGATTTCATGACATCCCACACAATACCTGACTCACTGAAAATTCCAAGTAATACAAAAGAACTGATTTCAAAAATACCAAATTCATCACATACTAACACCCCGGAATGCCTTTTAGACATTGTAAGCAATCAAACGATTAATGAAACAGGATTGTGTTGAAATACAAATAGAGGCAACGTAAGAAATATTTCCTGTCTTTTTACAACAATTGAACCAAGTAGTCTAGATTATGGTTCCTTATTGGTACAACAATTTACTTGTCTATTGCATCACTAGAATATACGTCATCTACAGGATACAATGTCCTGGTTTAACCTTTCTCTAATTCTCCTGACAAATCTGATTAAATTTGTATGTGGTTAATAACAAGTCTTGGGGATCACAAAACATCTGATGTACCTCGTAACCTGGTGGAAACGGAATGTCATTGTGTACCCTGTCATTAAGTCATCTTTTAACACTATTATACAGACACGTGATACGCTGTGTATTATTTGGAGGTGGCTATTTAGTTTCTGACTGTATGATAAAAGATAGCAGGGTATGTAGGGACAATCGAACAAAGACATCACAAGATGTGATAGAATTTCATCATTCTGATGATATTTCTTCTGAAGGTTAAAATCTTCTGTTGTATGTAAATGAGTTCATTTAAATGGATCAGAGAACATTAAAACCTAACATGTCCTAATACATCAGTTATATGTACTGTTACGACACCTCATATCCTTCACACATACAGGTGTCAGACATTTTTCATGATTTCCACATTCTATAAATAGATGATGAGCCATCACGTTGGTATTGTAAGATATGATGAAGTAGGAGGTAAAACCAAAGTCAATCTTTTACAGATTTCAAAAACATTTACATGTTTATTTAAAGGT